GTTTTGATTAAAGAAAAGTCAGTCTGACTCAACTCGATAAAAATATTTTCGTAGTAGTGGCATGCCCTGGTGCTCATTCGTATTATGATTGCAAATAACTTCGGAAAGGGTTGGTGTAATCTCATTCAATACGCACCTTACCCAGGCAGAAAAAAAATATCGACTATCGGGCGATCTAGCTAGCTAACTCAATATACTACCCGATACAGCTAGCTAGCAATTCGAATTAGGTTATTTACTATCACTATCGGACGATATAGCTAGCTGGCTCAATATATTACTCGATATATCGACGATCGGATTACGTAGATGTAGCAACTGTACTATATATGTAAAACATATACTTCGCAAATTTAAAAAATATTTTTTCATATCACGTCAATATATTAAGCAATAATAGACCAATATATTATAGAATATTGCTTTCTGTCAATATATTATAGAAAGCAGGATGTCTGTATACAGACATCCCGGGATGCAATGCAGACAGCATCTTTCATGCTGTCAACACGTGAGTCAATATACGGGGCAATAACTGATCGATATATCGACTAAATTTGTTTCTCTGATCAGTGTTTTTCGTCAAGCCGATATATTGGGTACGCTATCTAGTCGCTAGCTGTCATATCCGATATAGCCAGCGAACCCAATAAGTGGTACGAATATATAGCTACCACAAGCCGATATTGCCCGACAGTATATTTTTATAGCTAGATATTCCTAAAGGCATTTTTTTGCTTGGATTTATTATGTCATAAGAAAAATTATTATTGGTAATTTTTTACAAAAGTGTCGTAGGTACAATCAGCGCAATGTCGCGCAAAATCAGCATAAAATTAGAACATATAGGAACAAAAAGAGAGAAATACCAACGGAAAGCTACTGTAAAAGTTAAATGCGCTGACATAAAAGTGTTATTTATTTCGAGTGTGTATATTATAGGTGTTATTTATTAACTAATGCGTATATTGTTGACAGTTGAGAATCTGAATGATTTCATCACTTTAATTTGTTTTTCTCGTTTGCTCTTATTTTCTTTTGCAATAAAACGATCATTTATAACTCAAGCTCAACTTAATTTTATCCGTCTCACATACGTACATACAGATAAAAGACGAGAAAAAACGGTAAATCTCTTTAAAAATAACAACAAAAAATCATTGACGTGTATTGTTAGGTTCCCGAGTAAACTAAGATCTTTCTCACCTAACTTTTATTTACAAATCAAAAAGATCTCTCTCTTAACAATAAAATTGATCTATTTATATACGAAATATTGCGCGATAACCTTGGCTAGGCTCTACGCAATAACCTTCACTATGATCATCTCCCTTATGGCACGACTGTAGTGCGGGGCATAACACTTCCTCCCATGAAACAAGATGAACCTCCACGTTCATCGGAAACTGAATGCCTTTTGGAGGTCCTTTTGTTGTTCAATGTTCCAGTACTGCCACCACCATTATCACTGAACCTTTGGCGGCCGCGTTCTTCGTACTTTGCTTGAGTCAAATGAGTCGTTGTTTTCTTCACCATTCGTTTTGTTTTTGTTGATTGAAAAGCTGTCACTGTCGTTCGATATCTTGTGGATAATCACCAACGTGTTAGATACACCTTTCGAACACTGGTTGTAAATCAGCTGTATGAACCCTCCGTTAAATCGCTGTTTGTCCATCTTGTATGATGTAGCTCGGGGGGTGTTCTTGAATGATACTATGCGTACCCGAGTAACGTTCTTCGAATTTTGAAATATGACTAGGTTTTCGCCATAACAATGAGTCATTTGCTTTATAGATTGGATCGGAGCGGTTCAAGTCGAATCGTGCTTTTGTTACTTGTCGCTGAATTTGAATGTTTTGTCGTGCCGCTTGATAATACATTTTTAATGACCACATCATTCTGGGCCAGTAGTGATTTGATTTTGTCAGTGTGAATGTTGGCTGTTTTTGGGCTAGTGGCAATGTTGGTTCTCGGTCAAACATCAACTGAAATAGTGAATACCCGGTTGTAGCATGTTGTCCAGTATTGTATACGTAAACAACAGCTGGTAAATATTCATCCCAATTGTTCAAATTCTCGTCTTGTAACTTTGCTAGTTGCGGTCGAAATGTTGCATTGAATCGCTCGACTTGACCATTCGTCTGTGGATAGTACGGTATTGCTTTAATGTGGTCGAAACCTATCAATTCTGCCACATTTTTCATTAATTCATTATTAAAGTGGACACCTTGATCGATAATGAGCCGATTTGGTACACCAAAGTTGAAAATGAATTCTTCGACAAATGTTTGGGCAGTTGTTTGTGCTGTATTGTTAGGTAACGCCTTCGCTACGACAAATTTTGTCAAGTAATCGGTTATGACCAATACATATTTATTTTCATTGACGGATCCTTGTCTGATTGGTCCCCAAAAATCCATGCCGACTAATTCCAGCGGTCCTTCTGGTGGCGGAATTGGGTTCAATTTTCCAGGTGTTTTTGTTCTTTTGATGTTAAACTTGACACATTTTTCGCATGATCGAATATAACTTTCAACTTTTCCACGCATCTGTGGCCAATAACAACAATCCTTGAGTTTCGTCCATATTCGTCTGGAGCCAAAATGAGCTGCTGTTGGATGGTCGTGATAACTTGTCAAAACTTCGGTTCTCATCGATGATGGAATGAATATAGATTAATTTCATATTAGTTCTTGCACGAGGACGAGAGACCAGTTTGTATCACACAGTGTTTTCAATAATATGTCATGGTTCGTGTCGAATATTTTTTACAATTTGTTGAACATTTGTGTCCTTCTTCTGTTCTTCTCGTATTCTCTCGATTCCAAAGTCCAAGGTCATTAGTGGTTGCTTAGTTGACCCCGTTCGGGTTGTGCTAGATGCGGAAGATATGTCACTTTGGTTCACGCTGGTAGTTTTTCGTGTCATGGATCGAGTGATGGCATTGAGAGCAAGATGTCCGTCATTTTTGCATGATGATTCCCAAGTATTGTTGCAATTTATTCATGCACCATAATATTGCTAATGCTTCGCGTTCAATTGTTTCGTACTTCTTTTCTGCTGGAGATAACAATCGACTCAAGTAATAATTATAAAGAGTGCTTCCGTCTATTAATTGTTTCAACGCACATCCGATGGCTTATTCCGATGCGTCCGTTGCCAAGATGAATTCGGCTGTTGGATGTGGATATTTCAACAACAGTGGTGGTGTGTTAAGAATTGTCTTCAAATTATTGAATGCTTCACGTTGTTCTTGATGCCAGTAAAACGTATACTTCATCTTTTTTGTTTTGTTTGTCACTTTGTGAATGGAGCTGCGATTTCCGCGAAACGTGGAATGAATTTTCGGTACCAACCAAGCTTGCCAATAAACTGGTTTGCTTGTGATAATGTTCGTGGTTCTGGCATATCCAGTATGGCTTGAAATCGATCGCTCAATGGTTGAATGGAGTCACATGTAATTACATGACTCAAAAATTCCACTTGTTGAACAGTTACGATGGGTGCATTTTTTGTGATTCAGTTGAAACCTATGTCGGTCCAATGGTGACAAAATCTCATTTAGGTGTTTCAGATGTTCGTCGAGTGAACTGGAGAAGATGATAATGCCATCCAGATATACTACCACAAAATCCCAACGTTTGTAGCCAATGATGTTGTTCATGACACGTTGAAATGTTGGTGGAGCGTTCATGAGTCCTGGATAATATGGATAATACCTCAAATTGATGGAGACTATCTTGCGTACAAAAGGCTGTTTTTTTTTTTGTCACAGTCTTGAATTGGAATCTGGAAATATCCAGACTTCGAATCCAATTTGGTAAACCGCTTATGTCTGCCCAATCTTTGTAAAAGTTCCTCGTTTGTTGGTTGAGGATATGAATCTTTTTGTGTGATAGCATTTAATTTTCGGTAGTCGACAATAAATCGGAATTCGCCATTTCGCTTTTTTAACAATACGACCGGAGATTGATGTGATGGTATTATTATCCCGCTTTTGAGCATTTTATCAATCTCTTGTTCACACCAGGTAAAATATCATATTGTCGGACCAGTTTGACAGCGATCTCTGCATCTTTCGCAAACCCCACCGTCGTTTGTTGTCGCCGATGATAGATTTTCAGTTGTTTTCTACCTGGAAATATATGCACGTTGTAGAATGTGATCCAATCCAGCCCGAGAATGAAGTCAGCAGCCAACTAGTTTAGTACCATTGCCTTGACCTTGGTTTTCATGTCATTAACTTTCACACACAAGTCTACTGAACCATATTGCCACACAGTTGTTTTGCCATCACTCAAGGTAAAATCTCCCACTGTTCCTCGTATGTGATGATGGTAATTCACTTGTTTCAATGTTGATAGTTTGATTAATGATATTGTAGCGTCTGTATCCACCGTCGCTCGAATGCTATTTCCGTTAGCCACTGTTTTGATGAAGAGTAATTCTGATGGATATTGACTTTGTTTGGAGATACTACCACCATGTGACTCCATTAATAGTTTTTTGAATTCCAACAGTCACGAGCAAAATGACCACTCTTGTTGCATCTGAAGCATACTTGTTGATATTGATATGGTCGATGTTGTTTGATCGATGATGTCGTCCTTGCGTAATAATTTTCGCCGTCGTTTTGAAATTGACGCTGCGGATAGGACGTATAACGATAGTTTTGTGTATTGATGGTGAATTTGTCATTGTCGTGGCTGTTATTCTTTTTGTCTTATTGTTTTTAATTTCAATGTTGTGCATTGATGCAGCCATGGAATAATCAAGGCTTTCTTCTTCTTGAGCCGTTTTGATGAACTCAGATGGTGTTTGCGGATTTTCCCTTCACACTTCCTTCTCAAATGACAATTTCAGTCCAGTTTTTAAATAGCTGACCTTTAATGAGTCGCTCATTCGATGATCCATAGCCTCAAATAATTCCATCATGTCGTTGTAATAGTGCATGACAGTCTCATCTAAGCCTTGACGACGCTGCTCTACTTGGCTAATAGCTACTTCTTTTGCAATCGTCGATGTGTATATTTTCTCAATTGCTTCATTGAATTCTGACCATGTCTCTAATGTTCTCATGTTATTGGTGAACCATTTTCTTGCATCATCAACCAAATATGTTTGAATAATCCCCAGTTTTTGGCTATCGTCGAACTTCACCACATTGAACTCGTTCGTAATACCTTTCAGCCACTTGGTCACATTTTCGGTTAGTTTTCCACTGAATGTTGGTGACTGATTCAATTGTTTGTTAATGCGCGGTGCTTTCTCTGCCATTTCAAATGGTAATGGTCGACGAAGAATAAATACTTCGGTCGCTTGAGTTTGCGTTGTAGGTTCGATTTCGATATTGCGGATGCAGTTGTTCCAAATATAGTTGCCGGTCTGATCGTCAAGTAATTGTTGCTGTGCTCTTGTTACTACCATACAGTTATATCACTTACTTGTGTTAACCCCGGCTAGTGCACCAATGTTAGGTTCCCGGGTAAACTAAGATCTTTCTCACCTAACTTTTATTTACAAATCAAAAAGATCTCTCTCTTAACAATAAAATTGATCTATTTATATACGAAATATTGCGCGATAACCTTGGGTAGGCTTTACGCAATAACCTTGCATATTCTTGCGCAATAACCTTCACTATGATCATCTCCCTTATGGCACGATTGTAGTGCGGGGCATAACATGTATGTTTTTCCGGTTTTATAGATTCTCTGTCGTTTTTGAAATATAATAAAATAAAAAGAAAACAAACTAAATTAAGAGACAGTTACTTGAGAACTCTGTCTCTTTCTATCAAATCAACTTACGGACGCATGCACACAAACAACCTCTGCCGACATGTACAGTACAAGTTTAATTTAATTTCCTAGATTTTATCTGCTGGACGCAACTTCATACAAATCGATCTTCGCGATGAAACCCAGTAGTTATCGGTTTCCATTGTGAAGATCGATTTTTTGACATTATAATAAATGAGGATGTTGCTCCCGTATCTACCATGGCACCAGTTTTTCTGTTGTCGATTAGAGTTGGAATAAAGATCGATGCTGATGGTTGGATATGGTGGGAGACGGTACCATCATGTGCTCCCAATAGAAATTTTTTGACTAATAATCACGTGCAAAATGACCCGTCCTGTTGCATTGATAACACCTTGGGAGTGGCGGTAATCGTCGTTGGTGTGTTTGCTGATAACTATAATAATTTGTATTTACCCCTAGATATTGTTGTTGTGCTTGTGGATAATAACTTGGACCATACTGGTGCGGAAACATTTGTTGATGTTGTGGATAAATTTGTGTTGATGTAATGGTGGATGTTGCCGCCGATATTTGATTGTTGTTAGTATAAACATCATTTATAGCATAAGCTTGATCCAAACATTCTTCTTTTTGCACTACTTTAATAAATTCTAGTGGATTTTTCGGTTCTTGTCTTGCAACATCTTTTTGTACATTATGTGAAAGTAATTTTCAAGAGAAAGTTATTGATAATGTTGTAAGTGGAGCAACTAGAATTAAATGGTGGCAATGGATCAATATAAACGGGCGTGCAGAAAAAAAGGAATTTGAAGGATGATGAAGCTGTTGAATTGTTGAAATTCAAAGTTAAATATTTTCGATTTCATATCTATATTAAGTGTGAACAAAGTAAATATTTCGAACAGTTAAAGTCAGAAGTAACAGATGAAAAAGTTGTTATACAAGTTGATTTCGCTGAAAATTTTGGATCAAAAGAGCCAGACGAAATTCAAAGTGCTCATTGGGATACAAAAACTCTATCTATATTTACAGCTTATGTGTGGTCTAAAAGTCCACTGGAAGTCATGGAAAAGTCCACTTAATGAGCATTCAAGTGCTACTGAGGACCAATAACAAACCTATCACAATGCTCGGCTATTAATAGGTCAATGAAGCAATACCCGACATTCTTCGATACACTGCGCACTAGACACTGACAAGCTTTTAATAGGACTCTCAACCAATATCCCAGTAGATCGCTCACCGTTTCAGACACTGTGCAGGTGAAATCCAACTATTCAGTTAAAAATGATCGGCAGCCTTTCTTAATGAGCATTCAAGTGCTACTGAGGACCAATAATCGACATATCACAATGCTCGGCTATTAATAGGTCAACGAAACAAAACCGAACTATCTTCCATACACTGCCGAGTGAAGACATGTTGGTATACACATAGCCGCTCATACAACATCTGTCTCGTTAACCAATATGGTTTCAATTTCCCCCGAGCACATCGGTCACCGTTTCAGACATTGTGCAGGTGAAATCCAACTATTCAGTTAAAAATGATCGGCAGCCTTTCTTAATGAGCATTCAAGTGCTACTGAGGACCAATAACAAACCTATCACAATGCTTGGCTATTAATAGGTCAATGAAGCAATACCCGACATTCTTCGATACACTGCGCACTAGACAGTGGCAAGCTTTTAATAGGACTCTCAACCAATATCCCAGTAGATTGGTCACCGTTTCAGACATTGTACTGATGAAATCCGACCATTCAGTTTAAAGTAGTGGGCAGCTTTGTATATATGTTAACAGCCCATGTTTTGGTTGATTTTGCTGAATCTTCAGTTCTAGTAATTTTTAGGCAACAAATATCAGATCTTGATTGGCCGCGGTTTGTGATGTTTTCTATGAGAACTTTGATCATTAAAATTTTTGAAAAGCAATACAGATAGTGAGATGATGTCCTCTTGAGTTTCGGTTCACTTTATTAAAAAAAGCAATTGCAACAACAATAACTAAGAAAAATATCACAGGCATATTTTGAAAGAAAACGAGTAGCTAAATTAGCTAAATAAACCCGCGTACATCAAAAATATTTTCTTCCGGTTCGTCATCATCAAAACCATTACCAATACCATTAGTATAACCAACACCATTATTATAACTACTACCATTACCATGATCACTACCACTACCGTTACCATTGGAAAACGTCCTAAATCCAAAATAGTAGATGTCTTGACTAAGTTAAGAAACGCTCTTAGTATTAACATATAGGCAATGAATAATGCAGAAATTATTTACCATTTATCAGTTTTTCCTTTACCATTAACAATACCATAGTCATAACCACTACTATCACCACTACCACTACGACTGCCACAACCATAAGCACTATCATAACCACTACTATCACCATTACCCCTACCACTACCACTGCCACTGCCATAACCACAAGCACTACGATAAACACCACCATAACCACTACCATTACCATTACAATTACAAAACATCCTAAAACATCCAAAATAATAGATGTCTGGACTAAGATAAAAAACGCCCATGCTATTAACATATAAGCAATGTATAATGCGGGAATTAGTTACCATTTATCGCTTTTTCCTTCTTGTTTTACTTCTACTTCTTCCATTTCTACATTACCCCTCCACCGCTTTCTTGGTGACCAACCATTACCTTGAAACCATCCCCGGTCTGGATTTTGGCGACTTCTATAATAGCTTAGAAATTATTGGCAACGGAGGCACACGTCGAGGTCAAATTTCCTTACCTTTCTCGTGCCAGTTCTCCTGATCGTCGTCGCTTTCGACGCTGTTGTTGTTTCAGCTCCTCCTCCAGTTCACGCTGTAACCGTTGTTGCAACACCAGGTGTTGCATCTGGTGATCCAATTCATGTTGCTGATGTTCAAGCAATCCCCGCAACCTTGCCAGCTCAGAATCCAGACGCTCCACCAAATCAAATACATCCCACACTCCAGAAAATACTTCAATCAAGAATTCAAGATTCATATCTGAAACATATAACAAACCTCGATAAAATGCTTTCAACCAAAAAAGTCGTCAAGTGCAAACATCTCCCAACGATCGGGTATTAACAGGCCAACGAAACAAAATCCAAGTTTCTTCGATACACTGCCGACTGAAAACATCCAGATACAGGGCAAGCAGCATGAAGATCATCTGTCTCAGTAACCAATATTGTTTCAACTTCCAGGACATTCGCAAGCTTTTAGTAGGACTCCCAACCAATACCCTAGTACATCGGTCACCGTTTCAGACATTGTGCACGTGAAATCCAACTATTCAGTTGAAAATAGTCGGCAGCTTTATTCAATGGGTAAAGCTCAATAACAAACATATCACAATGTTCGGGTATTAATAGGCCAACGAAACAATACCCGACCTTATCCGATACACACTGAAATTCGATCCCGACCGAAGACATGCATATCCACGCAAGCAGTGCTGATTAAGACACATCAGCTACTTAGTTGAAAATACCAGGGTGTCAATCAGATCCGTTATTGCTAAACCAATCAAACCGTACCCCTGTAAAATAGCACGTCCATAATAGCGCATATTGATAGCCCGCCATTTGTGAAGTTTTCTATCACAACTTTGATCTTTAAGGCCGATGAAACAAAACCCGAGTAAACTAGTATGTCCGAAATATCGGATATTGATACGCCGCCATTTGTGAAGTTTTCTATGAGAACTTTGATCTTTAAAGTATTTATTAAATGTACTAGAATACATGTATGAACAAAATTCGACAAATAAATCGGCAACATATTGTTGTCGAACATATTGTTTTTGTCAATTTCCGACATGTTTCATTTTACATTCAACATGATCAAACTGCTCATCACAATATCAGCCTCGTTAACCAATATCATTTCTATTTCCTAAACACGTACATTTTTCCATGAATTAAAAGCCTATCTTCCGGTTGATTTTCATCAATCTTCAGTTCTAGTAATGGATAACCAAAGAATATCCGTACTTTTGATTTGTATCATTTCTGTTTTTTTTTCAAACAATAACCGAGCAAACTAGAGTGTCCAAAATATCGGATATTGTTACCCTGTCATTTGTGAAGTTTTCAATGAGAACTTTGATCTATAAAGTATTTATTAAATGTACTAGAATACATGTATGAACAAAATTCGACAAATAAATCCGCAACATATTGTTGACGAACATATTGTTCTTGTCGATTTCCGACATGTTTCATTCTACATTCAACGTGATCAAACTGCTCAACACAATATCAGCCTCGTCAACCAATATCATTTCTATTTCCCACACACGCACATTTTTCTATGAATCAAAAGCCTATGTTTCGCTCGATTTTCATCAATCTTCAGTTCTAGTAATGGATAACCAAAGAATACTTTCGATTTGTATCGTGGTTTGTACTGTACGCATCATTTTCACATGACTCGGTGAAAATGATATAGAGTAGGTACTGGACTATGGAGAGCCAGAAAATAAGTATGCACGGCCTCTCCGGTGATTCCTATTGGTCGAAAATATCATTTACACATGAATGGATGAAAATGATATAGAGCAGGTACTCGACTATGGAGAGGCAGAAAATGAGTATGAACCACCTCTCCGGTGATACCTATTGGTCGAAAATATCATTTCAACATGAATGGATCAAAATGATATGGAGTAGGTACTGGACTATAGGAAGCCAGAAAATGCGTACTCAAGACCTCTCTGGTAATTCCTATTGGTCGAAAGCATCATTTCCACATGAATGGATCAAAACGATATGGAATAGGTACTCCACTATGGCGAGCCAGAAAATGAGTATAAACCACCCCCCCCGGGGATTCCTACTGGTCGAAAACATCATTTCCTCGTGAACCTATGAAAACGATATGCAGTAGGTACTGGACTATACGAAGCCAGAAAATGCGTACTCAAGACCTCTCTGGTAATTCCTATTGGTCCAAAACATCGTTTCCACAAGAAACGATGCAAATGATGCGGGGTGGGTACTCCGCTGTGGGAAGCCAGAAAATCAGTATGAGCGACCTCTCCGGTGATTCATCTTGGTCGAAAAGATCACTTCCACATGAACGGCAGAAAATACGTACTCAAGACCTCTGTGGTAATTCCTCGTGGTCGAAAACACCGTTTCCACAAGAAAGGATGAAAATGATGCGGCGTGAATATTCGGCTGTGGGAAGTCGGAAAATGAGTATGAGCGACCTCGCCGGTGATTCCTATTGGTCGAAAAGATCATTTACACGTGAATGGATGAAAATGATACGGAGTAGGTACTGGACTATAGGAAGCCACAAAATGCGTACTCAAGACCTCTCTGGTAATTCCTATTGGTGGAAAACATCATTTCCACATGAAAATGATATGGAGCAGGTACTCGACTATGGGGAGCAGAAAGTACGTATGAGCGACCTTTACGGTAATTCCTATTGGTCGAAAACATCGTTTCCACAAGAAAGGATGAAAATGATGCGGGGTGAGTGCTCGGCTGTGGGAATCCAGAAAATAAGTATGAGCGACCTCTCCGGTAATGCCCATTGGTCGGAAACATCATTTCCACGTGAATAGATGAAAATGATATGGAGTAGGTACTGGACTATAGGAAGCCAGAAAATGCCTACTCAAGACCTCTCTCATAATTCCTATTGGTCGAAAACATCGTTTCCACAAGAAAGGATGAAAATGATGCGAGGTGGGTACTCGGCTGTGGCAAGCAAGAAAATCAGTATGAGAGACCTCTCTGGTAATTCCTACTGGTCGAAAACATCATTACCACGTGAATAGATGAAAATGATATGGAGTAGGTACTGGACTATAGGAAGCCAGAAAATGCATACTCAGCACCTCCCTGGTAATTCCTATTGGTCGAAAACATCATTTCCCAAAGAAAGGATGAAAGTGATGCGAGGTGGGTACTCGGCTGTGGCAAGCAAGAAAACGAGTATGAGCGACCTCTCTGGTAATTCCTACGGGTCGAAAAGATCGTTTCCACAAGAACGGATGAAAATGATTTGGAGTAGGCACTGGAGTATAGGAAGCCAGAAAATGCATACTCAGCACCTCTCTGGTAATTCCTATTGGTCGAAAACATCATTTCCACATGAATGGATGAAAATGATATGGGGCAGGTACTCGACTATGGTGGGCAGAAAATACGTACTCAAGACATCTCTGGTAATTCCTCTTGGTAATTCCTCTGATACGGAGTGGGTACTGGACTATAGGAAGCCAGAAACTGCGTACCCAAGTCCTCCCTGGTAATTCCTGTTGGTCGAAAACATCGTTTTCGCAAGAAAGGATGAAAATGATGCGGGGTGGGTACTCGGCAGTGGGAAGTTAGAAAATGAGTATGAGCGACCTCTGCGGTGATTCCTATCGGTCGAAAACATCATTTCCACCAGAAAGGATGAAAATGATGCGGGGTGGGTACTCGGCCGTGGGAAGCCAGAAAATGAGTATGAGCGACGCCTCCGATGATTCCTATTGGTCGAAAACATCATTTCCACATGAATGGATGATAATGATATGGAGTAGGTACTGGACTATAGGAAGCCAGAAAATGCCTACTCAAGACCTCTCTCATAATTCCTATTGGTCGAAAACGTCGTTTCCACAAGAAAGGCTGAAAATGATGCGAGGTGGGTACTCGGCTGTGGCAAGCAAGAAAATCAGCATGAGAGACCTCTTTGCTAATTCCTACTGGTCGAAAACATCATTTCCACGTGAATACATGAAAATGATATGGAAGAAGGTACTAGATTATAGGAAGCCAGAAAATGCATACTCAGCACCTCTCTGGTAATTCCTATTGGTCGAAAACATCGTTTTCGCAAGAAAGAATGAAAATGATGCGGGGTGGGTACTCGGCAGTGGGAAGTTAGAAAATGAGTATGAGCGACCTCTGCGGTGATTCCTATTGGTCGAAAACATCATTTCCACCAGGAAGGATGAAAATGATGCGGGGTGGGTACTCGGCTGTGGGAAGCCAGAAGATGAGTATGAGCGACGTCTACGGTGATTCCTGTTGGCCGAAAGCATCATTTCCCAATAAATGGATGAAAATGATATGGAGTAGGTACTCGGCTATGGGGAGGTAGGAAATGAGTATGAGCGACCTCTGCGTTGGTTCCCATTGCTCGAAAACATCATTTCCACATCAATGGATGATAATGATATGGAGTAGGTACCCGACTATAGGAAGCCAGAAAATGCGTACTCAAGGCCTCTCTGGTAATGCGTATTGGTCGAAAACATCGTTTCCACAAGAAAGGATGAAAAGGAGGGGCGTGTGGGTATTCGGCTGTGGGAAGCTTGAAAATGAGTATGAACGACCTCTGCGGTGATTTCTCTTGGTCGAAAAGATAATTTCCACATGAATGGATGATAATGATATGGATTACGTACTGCACTATAGGAAGCCAGAAAATGCGTACTCAAGGCCTCTCTGGTAATTCCTGTTGGTGGAAAACCTCGTTTCCACAAGAAAGGATGAAAATGATGCGGGGTGGGTACTCGGCTGTGGGAAGTTAGAAAATGAGTATGAGCGACCTCTGCGGTGATTCCTCTTGGTCGAAGAGATCATTTCCACCAGAAAGGATGAAAATGATGCGGGGTGGGTACTCGCCTGTGGGAAGCGAGAAGATTAATCCGCATCATTTTAATCCTTTCTTGTACAAATGATCCTTTCGACCAAGAGGAATCACCGCAGAGGTCGTTCATTTTTGTTTTCTGGCCACCCATAGTCGAGTACCTACTCCATATCATTTCCATCCATTCATATGGAAATGATGCTTCCGACCAATACGAATTAACAGAGAGGTCTTGAGTACGCATTTTCTGGCTCCCCATAGTCGAATACCTATGCCATATCATTTTCATCCTTTCTTGTGGAAATGATGTTTTGGATCAAAAGAAATGACCGCAGAGGTCGCTCATACTCATTTTCTAGCTTCCCATAGACGAGTACCCACCCCACATCATTTTCATCCTTTCTTGTGGAAACGATGTTTTCGACCAATAGGAATCACCGCAGAGGTCGCTCATACTCATTTCCTGCCTCCCCATAGTCGAGTACCTCCTCCATATCATTTCTATCCATTCATGTGGAAATGATATCTTCGACCAATATGAATTACCAGAGAGGTCATTAGTACGCATTTTCTGGCTCCCCATAGTCGAATACTTACTCCATATCCTTTTCATCCGTTCATGTGGAAATGATGTTTTCCACCAACAGGAATCGTCGGGGAGGTCGCCGATACTCATTTTCTGGCTCTACATAGTCGAGTCCCTGCTCCATATCATTTTCAACCATTCCTGTGGAAACGATCTTTTCGACCAAGAGGAATCACGGGAGAGGTCGCTCATAGGCATTTTCTTGCTTCCCATGGTCGAGTACCTGCTCCATATCATTTCCATCCATTCATGTGGAAATGATGTTTCCGACCAATCGGAATTGCCAGAGAGGTCTTGAGTACGCATTTTCTGGCTCCCGATAGTCGAGTACCTGCTTGATATCATTTTCATCCCTTCATCTGGAAACGATTCTTTCGGCCGGCACGAATCACCGTAGAGGTCCCTCATGCTCATCTTCTGGCTTCCCACAGCCGAGTACCCACCCCGCATCATTTTCATCCTTTCTGGTGGAAATGATGTTTTCGAGGTCATCAGTACGCATTTTCTGGCTCCCCATAGTCGAATACTTACTCCATATTCTTTTCATCCATTCATGTCGAAATGATGTTTTCGAGCAATAGGAATTACGAGACAGGTCTTTAGTTCGCATTTTCTGGCTTCCCCGTAGTCCACTACCTACTCCATATCATTTTCATCCATTCATGTGGAAATGATGTTTTCGACCAATAGGAATCATCGGAGAGGTCCCTCATACGCATTTTCTGGCTTCCCACAGCCGAGTACCCACCCGGCATCATTTTCATCCTTTCTTGGGGAAACGACGTTTTCGACCATTTTTCATTCATTTTCCGGCTCCCGACAGTGGCGTACGTACTCCATATCATTTTCATCCATTCATGTGCAAATGATGTTTTGGACCAACAGGAATTACGAGAGAGGTCTTGAGTACGGATTTTCTGGCTCCCCATAGTCGAATACCCGCCCGCATCATTTTCATCCTTTCTTGTGGAAATGATGTTTTCGACCAATAGAAATCAGCGCACAGGTCTTCTGCACTCATTTTCTGGCTCCCGATAGTTCAGTCCCTACTCCATATCATTTTCATCCATTCATGTGGAAATGATGCTTCCGACCAATAGGAATCACCGGAGACGTCGTTCATACTCATTTTCTGGCTCCACACAGCCGAGCACCCGCCCGCATCATTTTCATCCTTTCTTGTGGAACTGATGTTTTCGACCAATAGGAATCACCTGAGAGGTCACTCATACTCATTTTCTGGCTTCTCACAGCCGAGTACCCACCTCGCATCACTTTCATCCTTTCTTGGGGAAACGATGTTTTCGACCAATAGGAATTACCAGAGAGGTCTTGAGTACGTATTTTCTGCTCACCATAGTCGAGTACCTACTCAATATCATTTTCATCCTTTCTTGTCGAAATGATGTTTTCGACCAACAGGAATTACCAGAGAGGTCTTGAGTACGCATTTTCTGGCTTCCTATAGTCCAGTGCCTACTCCATATCAGTTTCGTCCATTCATGTGGAAATGATGTTTACGACCAATACGAATTACCAGAGGGGTCTTGAGTACGCATTTTCCGGCTCCCCATAGTCGAATACCTACTCCATATCAGTTTCATCCATTCATGCTGAAACGATATTTTCGACCAATAGGAATTACCGGAGAGGTGGTTCATACTTATGTTCTGGCCCCCGATAGTCGAGTACCTACTCCATATCATTTTCAACCATTCATGTGGAAATGATATTTTGGACCAATAGGAATCACCGGAGAGGTGGTTCATACCCATTTTCTGGTTCCCGATAGTCGAGTACCTACTCCATATCATTTTCATCCATTCATTTGGAAATGATGTTTTCGACCAATAGGAATCGCCGGACAGGTCACTCATACTCATTTTCTGGCTTCCCATAGCCGAGTACCCACCCCGCATCATTTTCATCCTTTCTTGTGGAAACGATGTTTTCGACCAAGAGGAATTACCAGAGAGGTCTTGAGTACGTATTTTCTGCTCACCATAGTCGAGTACCTACTCCATATTATTTCACGCATTTGTTAGTAATGCCAATCAATTGACAGACTCATTGCCAATGGCAGAATGGTAACGAAAATTCGATGATTATATTACAGTTTACATAGTTCACTTGTAATTTGTAGACTTCATACTTTTATACGCTGTTTAAAGCTTCATATCTTATCGTGGAACGGATATCTCTTGAATTAAGCCTAATATCTTTGTTTACTGCAAATTTCAAAGAGTGAAATGTCCTTTATTTCTGAATGCTTAGAAGTTTATTATTTTGTAACTTTAGTCGTTTATGATTGAAATAAAACCTTTTTACAATGCTTCGTCATCGATGTTGCAGTCGCAGTGATTTGATGATCCCTAATAAAACAATATTTATAGAATATTAGTTGATTGATCTGAAAAATTGTAACGAATTGTGAAATAATTCATATGGAGATTTAAAAACCTTTTTTCAAGAAAGACGATTTTCGTCAATACAAATATTCGAAATCAGTAGTTACCTTAGAGGACTGAATGATTTCACTAACACATCAAACACAGAGGCCCGATCTTGAGCTTTCGCGTTATTGAACACTATAATTCTCCATCGATTCCAACTTCTTTTGCATTCAATTTGATCTTTATCACATTCTGTACTAAATGAGTAAAGTTAAAATGATCCTTAATAAACAATTAGACTAGGTGCAAAAAATAATCAGTTTCAATACCTTTAAGAAATTACTGTTATAATTGATATAGTAAGCTTAAAGTCAAAGTTCGATATTTCATTCATGCTTGGAAGTTAGATTGATTACAGAGGGTCCAGTGAAACCGACCATATTCTTGTTTAACCTCAGTAATAAAGGAAATGTTGTAGAGAGATGCAAGATAGAAGATTGTATGTGTTTCTGCCACTTGCACATCTGAAATCTCTCTCGTTTTACATGAATAGATGATTATTTTTTTTTGTTGGGTTTTGCGAGTACTCGAAAACGGGCCCTCGCAGAGGGCTCGATCCCTCGAAAAATGTGACTTCGGTCCCTCGATATAAGCGTTCGAGGGTTGATAGATTTCGACCCTTGCATTTCAGATAGATAGCGAGCTCTGTACAACAACGATTGCGGATTTTCGTACTTTGCGGATACTCAACGGCCTCAGTATGGAGTGAAAAAACGGTGGTACGAGAAGGTCTTGGATGGTCTGGAGAAACTAGGGATTTCCAACTGGAGAAGAAGCGCAAAGAACAAAGATCTATGGAGGCGGTTAATCAACAAGCACACACATCAGAAACCTGTTGACCAACATCTGAATAAGATACTCCAGAAGTACAAAGAGCGAGCGGAGAAAAGGCGAGCAGAGGAGAGGAAATGTTTAGGAACTATTGGTAGGTCAGCTGCTCAACCGATGG